CAGGACTTGTTTCTCACAGTTCATTTTTAAGTAATGCCAGGTAGAGACAGGAATAACTGATACCTTTTGCTAGTGTCAGCTCAAACTAACACAAGATAAAGCAATGACCTACTCTTACTGTGTTCTCACATTCCTTGCACAGCTGCTGTCTCCACATCTGCTGGAGCTCTCCTGCCACCCCAAGGTCTCCTCAGCCAGCAATAATGCTCCTTTGTTTTTTTTTTTTTTGGCTAATACCACTAGATGCTGAACTACACAATTCCATCCCTCTATATCAATTAGGCCCCTGGAGATTTGTGTCATGTATGGCACAGAAGCATCGTACTTCTCTCCACCAAACACTGTATGAAATATTTATTCATTTTTTTCTGTATAATTTGTGGAAAGTGAAATCATTGGCAAGTTTACTTTCTTACTAAAATTTTGCGTTGCGAGAAATATCTTAGAATCGTAGAATCATCTTACTCTCTCTCATATTGATATTGTTTTCCTCAGCTTTTTTTATTGCACCAGCAACAGTCAACTGCCACCTAGTTTTTATTCATCAGTGTCATACTACATTTTAAATTACCTCTTAGGTTTCAACATCATCTTAGAAGGTATCACTTTTATATTTTTACATCCTTTTTATGCTCTGTAACATCCTTGTGTGTTTTTGTGCCAAACACTGCAGAATATTCAGTCACAGATTATTTTAGTCAATTCCACGTATCTTTACTCTTTTTCCTCTGCCATTCTCTCTTCCCTCTCCAAGAAACTGGTTTCTTATCAGGCAGGAATTAAACGTTCCAAAGCTGAGATGAGATTCAAAATACTCTCAGACCTGAGAGGCAGCTCCAGGAATCCTCCATCACAGAGGACCCATGAACAGTCACTTCTTTTGGTGGAAGCAACAGTTTCTGGCTGTTATACCTGTAGAGTTTTCTAGCTGTAGATAAATATATTCCTCATCAGTCCTATTTAGCTCAGCACCCAGTAGCCAGCAGGGAGCAGACAAGACACCACTGACAGGAAAGGTGGCAGACATTCTTGCAAAGCCCTTTTTATCTGTAAATCACTGTACCATCATCCTTCTGTAATTTAAGGGGCAACTTGCTCAGTGGAGCAAATGCCCCAGGGCAGAGCCCATCCCTTTCATGACAGAGCTAGTTTGTGCACAATCTTTGCTGCCCTAATCTGCAAATGCCCCTATATCCTCACAAGTGTCTTGTGATACATCTTAGCCCTTGGGTCTAAGGGACAACCAGGTATCAACTTAACAGTGCCACCACAAACAACTGCAGAGAAACAGGAATGCAAGATTCTTATTCTTGGTCCCTGAATCAGAAGAGAGAAAAAAAAAAAAAAAGGTACGAGCACAGAGTCAAAAATAGCTCCTTTCAGTTCCCTCCCCCGAAAGCACTTAGGTTTAGTTACTGCATTCAAACAGCAGCCCTTTAATCAAGGAGTCCTACTTATTCACGAGGAGAACCGTAGCTAGACAAATCTTTCAAACACCAGTTCTGCCATCTGGCAGCAGCACTGAGACCTGTTCCCAGACACAAACAGAGCACTGGCAATTGCCCTCACGTGGAATTCCAAGGCACTGCAATTGTTCTGGCATTTAAACCTCCATGTGCTCCAGATGTGGATTTTATTTGTGTTCTTGTGGGGAAAAGGTACTACTAATTACCATATATTCTTCTCCCCCCTCCACTATACAACACTGGAAGCAAAAAAGCAGATCATGTAGGCCTGTAGATAGGCATCTTAAAGAATTCACACCAAAGGAGAAAACGTGTCACATTTCTCCTGCTTTCCCTGCCTCTGTGGATTTGACATTCTAAGCAGCTGCTCAGTGGGGAACAAAGTGGAAAATCCCCCGCAGAAGGGGGAATTGCTTTGTAGGCTTTTCTTTTTTCAAATTAATCTCCAATCATAATGGAAAGCTCACAGATGTAACCTTTCTACTCAAAGCGGCAACTTTCATTCTTGAAGGGATATACAGAAGAGAAGTGGGAATAAAAGTATTTGAAAAGACTTACATTTTGCTTCAGACAGATTCTGGTTAGGTGACCAGACCAGCATGCCGAGATTCTCTCTCTCCTGACTTCGTCTTGCAAGTTTGGCTTAAGAGAAAACAGATACAAACTAAGTTACAGAGAAAGTCACGTCAGATGCAAAATGGATATAAAAGTGACTTATTACATATCTACAGCTTTTAATCAAGACAAAACCCATCCGTAGAGTTAAAACCTCACCTTCCCATTCAGACCTGAGGCTTTTCCTTGTTTCTTCAATGCATCACCCTGTATATAATGTGACAGATACCACACACTCACTCTTCAATGCAGAACACTAAGAAGCATACATTAGATCAAAATTAAAAGTTAATTAATGTTTCTCTTCCAGCATACTTGATTATTTTTTCTTCTAGCCATCACTAAATGGAAAGGGGAGGAGCTGGGCTCAAGCAGCAGGCTCCAAGCCCTTAAGACTGTACTGTGCAGCTAGATTAGCGCTTCAGGGCAGACACAGGCATGAGCCTCCCAGATTTCACTTCAGAGCAACTCCTCCCCTGCCCCATCAGCCTTTCTATACCTCCACCCCTCACACGGACTGCACTGCCAACCAAGGTTACACTGGGACCCTCAGGAAAGAATCCAGTTCTCTGCTCAACCGTTCCACAAAAATTCTTATACATTCACACCCACACTCAGGAAGCAAGTCCAGTTTTAAACAACTTAACACCTCGCTGTCAGGAGAGCTCTGAAAGTCTCAAGTGAAGAACCACAGCTGTGTGTAGTTTGGAATAGCAACCTCTAGCTAAGGTACGTTTCAAGAGCAAGTTCTTATGAATCTGCTGTCATTTGGTCACAAGCAGTCAAAAGAGGAGGAGGAGCAGGAGGGAAAGAAACTTGCCCTGTTGACTCAGCACGCACACAGCCAGCTCAACTACCCCCTGACAGGGAGAAGCTTGCAGGTCCTGTTATGAGTGCCTACAGTACCACTTCCACTACAAAATCCCACGTAATGTTGAAGATTTATGCAATATTTCAGCACAATGCTACTTTCCCTGTGCTGTGCAATTAGCCATACAGCCACCACATCATGATGCATTAACCAAACAGGTCAGTAAAGACCCAGTAACATGAAATTACATGACAATGCTACGAACACTTGTGGTTTGAGTACTACTTTTGACCTGAAATCTGCTCAGCTAAAAACAGTCAGGGTTTAGAAAAAAAAAAATTCACGTTAAATTTAAAGCACAAATACCATGTATGAAAAATAATGAGTTGCCAGCAACATATTTATACTGAACTAACATTTTTTCATTACAAGCACCATGATTATCTTTAACAGTTTGCTGTTCTGTTTGTTTGGATTTTTTTTTAAAAAAAGGTTAGCCCCTGAACATACAAGATATTTTGTGCACTGTGCACATTCACTACTGTCCACAATAGGCAGAAAGGAGCAAGAAGAGACAACAGCCTCTGGCGGTGAGAGATGGGGGTGGAGACCAGGTCTATAAAGAGAACATACAGGATGTCTGAATTTAAAATTACAATACTGAATTTAAAATTGTAAATTCACAAAAAAAAAGTCTTGAAACATAAAGGGTTAAATTCTACTTTATCCCTTATTTCAAGCATAGGTCCGAAACGCAAAGAAAGAGGCAAACTTAAGCCTCCCCTTCACCAAATTTGCTCCTCACTCTCCCTATGCAGGATGGTCTGTCCTATTGAAGTCCAGTGTAGGGTTCAAAACACAGAAGGAAAACACAGAAATCATTAGTCACATCTCCAGAAAGATACACACTTTCTACTGAAATCCCAACACACCTCCAGTAATCCATGTCAGTTCAGGAGCCTGACGCCCAAATTCTGCCAGCAAGGCTTGACACTAGGCAAATTATCAGCCTGGTTTTCCCAGAGTCTCGCCCAGTGAACTGGCAAAACACACGTTACTCAGGGAAAGGGAAAAGTCTTCTCCTTCAGCAGGCTGATGCTCCTTGGCTCAGACATCAGGTGCATGTCCCAGCCCAGTTGTCCCTTTCAGGAGCAGGCCATCGCTAGCTCAGCTCACCTCCCAGGGTTAAACCCCCAAACGACGCTCTGGGGCGCTGCGGCGGGAGCGCCACAGCCTTCCTGGCTGCAAACCGCAGCAAGCCCTCGGAGGCGAGGGCCGGTGCAGGGAAGCGCCGCAGGACCTCACAGCACCCAAGTGGGGCTGGTGACACGTGCTCCTCACCCTCCACCACAGCTCTCCCCAGCACCCACGACCTCCCTTTGCAAAGGAGGTGCCTTGGGTTAGGAACTCCCTCCTTCCAACCCCACACCCCTTCCCTATTAACGAGGGTAAACCATGCCCTGGGCCTCACACCCAGAACCCCATGCAGATGCCAGGCTTCACGCCATCCTCAGGGCCCCTTCCGCCCAGTTCCCAGAGCCTGGCTTCTTCCCCTCTGCCTCACTCCAGCCTCTTGGTACCAACAGCCAGCCAAGTAACACACTGCACCTGTACACAGGTGCAGAGCAGCACCTCCAGTATTCCTGCAACATCTCTGCTGCTCTGCCTCTCCATCCAGGGCCACACCTTTCCACCTTCAGCCCTCACCTCTCAACAGAGGTAGAGGCCAGTGCAAGGCATGCAGAGCAGGGTTAAGTTAAAACTCACGCAGCTAACAGCGAACAGACAGAAAAGGGAGAAGATGGTGGTGTTCCCCAAACAACCACAGCGGCGTCCCTTGTACCAGAAGTGACTTAGCTTGCCACCCAGCTCCTCCACCTTCCAGCACCACATCCTCCCCATCACCCCTTCTCAAGCTCACAGGTCCCATGTGTGTGTCCCCTGCACGCAAGGCAGATGTGGCAGGCAGTCTTCAGAGTCCAGTGTTGATCTCATCATAAATACACGCACACCGCACAAGTACTCTTGCTACACAATGTGGCAAGGCAAAAGCTTTAGAACTTGGTCAAAATTTGGAAGCATGTTGAAATGGTTGTTTCAGAGCAACACCCATGAGAGAAAAAGAGGGCTTAGAGCAGAGCGGTTCCTACATCTCTTTCCTGCATCTTTCCAAGCACAGCTGCAAGGCTCACCAACATGAAGGAATTCCTTCCCCTGTCCCCTGATTTTGGACAAAGGATACCGGTGCAAAATCCAAATCTCCACATTTCAGTGAAAAACCTAAAAATCAAACTTAGTTTAAGCCATTATATATTTCATACAAAAATAGCCACTTAACGACAGCAATGGTTACTCATTTTTAGGGGAACTGAAATTTAGGATCAATGGATTTTGCTTGTCTAAGCAACTGCAGTTAAACCAGTGCAACCTGCATTTAGAGAGGTTGTGTACTAGCAGACAAGGTCACCTGACATCTCAGTTAATCCTGCACTTTCATCTAGGTTACCCACCAGGTATTTGTGAAGTCTCTTCCATAATTATTAGCTCCCTATCCCAGCTCTTGGGGGAGCAAACACCCTGTAATCCTCTCCCCACTGCTGGCTTGTCCCAGGTCTGGGAAGAATGAGGGATGCTTCCTCCATCCCCAAGAGGAAGACCTTTTACTAAAAGCAGCACCCCCTGAATTTTATTCCACTGTCAGAACTCACAGAGGATGCAAGCTCCCATTGCCTTGACCCAAGCAGAGGTGTACAGCCCCAGCCTGGCACAGTATTGCATAGCTTTTTCCACAGCACTTCCCATTCCTCTCTTTCCTCATCCCCAGAACATACCCCTGCCCCATGAACTATCCACTGGAACAGGAGGGAATCAATGCAAGTCAAAGTCATTCCATGAAGAAAATGTTGATTTTAAAGTGTGTCCCATTTACAGATGCCGTTTACTGCACAAGCCCCAAGTTCAACTAAGCAAGCAAGGAGATGAAGCAGGGCAGAACACCCATGCATCAACAGTATTCCAAAAAAACAGATCTTCCCCCCCACCCCCAGAACCTTGAGGGCACACCTCAACACAAGCATGCAGGTGACCATACAGTGTGCAGGAACATGCCAATTTGCACAGCAGAGACAACACCACGACAGGAGTTCCCTTCACTTCTGGCTCTCTGGCCCTGGGCTGCCCCTGCGAAGGCTTGGGCCTGGCACATGCAAACGCAGCAAGCTGTGAAACCGACCTGCAGCACTTATACCTCTTCCCTAACTCTTGGAAAGCGGCTGCAAGACTGCCCCACAGAAAAACAAGACAGAGGGTTCAACCAGCAGCAGCAGTAAGTTTGGACTCCAAGAGGTATTAGGCTTATTAAAAACGGTATCTTGACTGTGTCTTTAAATCATGGCTTTTCCCTGCTGTGAAGGTTACTACATAGGACCGCCTCACTCCCAAACATCTGTCTGTCCAATTTTCACTTCCATAGAGAAAAATGTCAGTACTGCTCTCCCACTACCACCCATGAAGTTTAAAGCCTCAGGGGTAATTCCATTCTAGACCCCATACCTGAGTGATCCCAGGTCACAGAGGAGAAGAACAAAGATTTTTTTTTTTCCAATACGAAGAAAAACACACTAAAAAAACAAACTCAAAAAACCCCACCACCAAACGAAAACTCTTAAAAACACACTCCCTTCCTCCCAGAGCACACTCCTCTGCTGCATTTACTCCAAGTCAGAGAGCAGAGGGTCAACCTTGCTAGGAGCCTCTGCAGAAACAGAGGAGAAAGGTGGAACACACAAGTTTCTTGCAAGGAACTTCTTAAAGGACACCAAGCCCTAAATACCCTCCTGAGTCCTCCGACGTGCCCATTACCTTCAACTCCCCATGGGTTCAGACCCCTGCCCCACACCAGAAATACACATCTATCTCCTCACATCTGAGGGGCTGGTTCTTCTGCAGATAACATAGCTTCATATTTTCTCTTAGGCAAACCAAAGCTGTACCGGTGCTGGAATCAGGACTTTATGAATAATCTGCTTTGAACATACTGCAGAGTTTGTCATCATGAATACGTTTGTGTTGACATGAAACCACAGATCTTTGTTCAAGCTCTCTTCAGAACACTGCAAGAAAGCCAAGACGTGCACTTGCCCTGCAGGCTCCTCAGCCACCAAAGCTTGGCAGACCTGCTGCAAATGGACAACAAAGAGGGGCTGACAGTAACAAGT